ATTCGGGCGAGAAGAAAATGTGTAGCACGACATAGTAAACTAACTTTCCTAACAGCAGACTTAACAAGTGATCCAATATAATCTTCCCACTTCAAGTTCGTGGAAGACATTAGACCGAGAAGTTTCTCTAGATTTTATTCCGAAATTAAGTTGCCCACTCAGACTGACTGTACACGTAAGTAAATAAATTTTCAGTTGATACTATTGTCTTCCTCGCCATTTGCGTCACGTCGTCTATTAAGCGTTTAGGTAACTGCTGTTCCTGGTAATATGTCGACTGCGGTCTTTACCTATAATCTCATCGGAATAAAAATGCATCAGTAAACCCCTTAATTCCCCAGATTCTTTTGGAAGATGTTTCCTCTTGCAAAACAAACCAAAACAAATGATCCTGCACCTGTTCATTTCACACGGTGTTGTAACAAGTGACGTACCGCCAGAGGCTTTTCCGATTTGTCTTCCACTGTCAAAATCTGACTGATTTAAGCAACACATATGCCTTTGCAAAAAAATATCAAACAAATAAACAACGCCATGGCATTTATGTGTTCAGCTTAATAGTCAGAGCACAGAAATTTACATTTAAAGGCTACAAAATATTCCTCTGGTAAAAGATTAATGTAACCGATTATCAAAATCATGGTTTATGAAAAAATAAATAAATAAATTAAAAAAAAAACAAAAAAAAAAAAACTCAAATACGGGCAGATTACACATTTCTTTAGAACACTCTCTGTGGAACAAGCAGAGTGAAAATAAACTTTCCACGGATTATATTTTGTTTTTAAAATAGAATTATGAAATTTATTTAAGTATTCACCTGACGGTCGGTGTTACACTTGAGTATAGTGAAGGCGATGAAAAATTAAAGGGATATATATATATATATATATATATATATATATATATATATATATATGTGTGTGTGTGTAAATTCTTAACAAGTTTTAGTGATACAAAAGAACCATTTATTTATCTCGTAAAGTTTAACTTAAGTATTTAAACAGTCTATATGAACACGTGGTTAGAACGTTCACTTTTCGACCATGGGACCCAGGTTCGAATCTCATGGTGGTCGATTTATAAGGAAGATGACTTCTTGATGTTATCGCTCTGGGGAAGGTGACCCCAGCGTGCAGTACCTTTAGAAAGTACCTGGAAACCATACTACGGGTTGATCCAATCCTTGCATTTTAAATTGGGTAGACGGAATTATGTTTTGCCAGCACGAAGTCGCAAGTCATCGTGACCGAGGGTTCCAGTATATTGGTCTTGGTCAGACTGTCGATCACGTCAAATAATGCGCTCTTTCCTAGAAACTGTAGCTACGGTCCGCTCAGCATAGTTGCAGTATAGATCACAGGTAGGTTCTGCAGGTGTTGAACAAACATAAATGTGCTTGAGCAGCGGCCCTAGTAGACAGGTATACTCGGGTACAAGAGGTCAGACACTACAGAGGGGTATAAAACTTACTAATAAATTTATTAATGCTAGAAAAACGCACATATTGAAATTTGTGTAACTATAGACAGCAATAAATATGAAAAAAATGCGCCCCCCCAAAAAAAAGATGGGCGGGGTGCGTGGAAAGGATAATAAAATAAATCACTCTAAAGGTGTGATTTGAAACATGAAAAATAAACAAGCAAATAAAAGAAGAGAGAGACTAACCGGTTTTCGATCCTCGCTCTTCGGAGCCAATCGAGGACAAGCGTGTAAATTGTATGCACAATTTAAAAAAAAAAAAAAAAATTAAATGAAGAAAGCCAGGGAATTTGTAGAGGAAAAAATATATAATCGTACTCTGATTTCATTAAGGCCCAGAAGCCATTACCTCTGCTTACAAAGTGAAGGCTCCTTAGACCGAATATATAAGGTATCTAATATTTTCAAGTATTGGGTTGGTGCATAATAATCAGGCGTCGTTAAACAATATTTATTATGAAAAACGCCATATAATTATGCACCAACTCAATAGTAATTGGAGTGTGTACTGCTGATTATAGTAGAGGAACCTCCGAGTTTTAAGTATATTACTGTTTCCCCTTTGCTAATTTCTTGGCTATCTAATTTTTTAAAATGTTGGGCGCACAATTTACGTTCGTCATCAATTGGTTCTGAAGTGTAAGGCTAACCCCGCTTTTTTATTTGTTATTTTCTTCTTTATTATTGCCTCGTTCCGGTGATTTATTATCTGTGCACTTTGCCTTGTTTTTTGTTTTGTTTTGTTTATCGCTTTATATAATTATACACAATTTCAATATGCCCGTTTTTATAGCATCAGCTAAACTGCTATAATGAACTATCTAGACAAAAAAAAAACCCCAAAAAAAAAAAAAAAAAACAGAAAAAGACCCAAATATACGTGAGGAAATGTGACCTTGGTAGATTGTGTCACACCAATCTCTCTTATGTGTGTGTGTGGGGGGGAATCTCGTTTTATGCACAATGTAGCTTCAGAACGTGAGCCATCATGGATTTCCACAATTTCCTATTCTTTGTAGTTCTCAGGTTTCCCCACTTTACTATACTTTCTAGTAACTATTCTGTTATCCATTTACACACACTCGTTACCTAGCTTACTAGCTGTTTTATTCTTGCCTTCAATATGCCCTGTGATTGTTAAGTTCTCAAAGCCTTCTTTCCTCTTTATGCGTCCTGGAAATTTAAACACTTCCTGATCCTAAGCAAAAATCCATTTTCTTTCCTATTTTCCTTAAATCTTCACCGTTGTTAACACGTTCAATCCATGAAATTCCCAGCATCCTCCCTTGAAATATTTCTGTTGCCTCAAGTCTCCTTTATCTATGAGAAAATTGTCCAGCATTCACGGCCATTTAGGAGAATTGATATTATCTTGCAGTTCAGCACACTTCTTTGCTTTTAACAAAATTTTCCTGTCACATAATAACTTGCTCAGTTTTGGAAGACATGTATCATTATCCCCACCCCTCATTTGGTTTTTTGTAACACATATTGCACACTATCTTAAGAAAAAGACCCTGAAATCGAAATTCAGTTTTTTTTTCCCCTGATCTCGATGGGGATTCGCATCTACTAAACACACTCCAACTTCAGGTAGCAAGTCTTACATTGTTCGTAAAACTAAGCGCACATATAAAAACCTTATTTCATTTATAAAATATATTTTCGTTCTAGTTCCGATAAATAATTGAAATTAATGTTTCTAGCGTGCGTAACTTTAAGGACACTTAGATACAAAAGCACACTAATTGAACAAAATTGTTTTTAGGCTTATAAATCATTTCATTTGCTTTCCTTAAAAATTTCTAAAGTTTCTTTTTTTTTTTTTTTTTTTAGAAATATACATCTAAGTTCTATTCTAATAGTTTCTTTTCTTATCTTTCTTACCTCTGGAACTCAATTCCGGTGTCTGACACCTAAAAGCTTCATAGATTTAAATACAACGTCAATCGTCGTCATCTATCTTCCTGTTCTTTCATTATCCAGTCTCCTGACTAACGCCTTTTCATTTTCTTTCTCTCTCAGAAAGCCCTTATGTCTTGGCGGCATTACCACCTTTTTGCGGGCGAAATGATAAAACAAAACGTAAGAGAAAATGTAAGGTCGTCAGTAAAAGAGACAAGCCACAGTGAGAGCTACGTAGTGGGGACGTCAAAGTCAGGCAGTAGTATAATAACACAGGGCGAAAAATTTGACAGAAATACGAAGGCGTATAAGAATAATGATGAAAAAAACAAAAAAACAAAAAAACCTTCCACAAAATTAAGCAATTAAAAGAAAGAACTGCAGAAAAAAATATATAATGTTCACTCTTCAATATGACAATGGGTTCTACACTATTTCTTTACAGATGAACAAGAGGATTTAGGCGACAAAGATGTGGCTCTACCAATGAAACTTAATAACACTATGGAGAGAACATGTGAACAATGAGGAAGTTTTAAATGGAAAACCGGGACTACAAGAAAACATACACAGAAAGTGACAGATTTATTTTCTGGGTTACATAAAGAAAAACTGCTTGGGAAATTTAAAACTCACAGGACATAATCAGTCCAAGAAAATCAAAAGGTAAGTATCGAGTAACTTAACGAATTTAAGCGAATGGAGAAGCAGTATAGACTAAAGTAGATGGTAATGAGTCAAAAGAAAATAAACATATAGCAGAGAATTGTGGATAGGCAATGTCGGTGATCGTGTCTATCAACAACTTCCTGCTTTTATTTTTATTTTTTTCATGTCCAGAAAGGACATGGTATAAGACATGCAAGTGCAATGATCACATGCTGTATTATTCATATGCATGTTCACATATTAATGTGCATCTGAGCAAAATACTTGAAGATAAAGACATGGCGTTTAACACACTCAATCCAAGGAATTCTACTGCCTTAAGTCTCTTCTTCCTTTATGAGCATTTACTGACATTTTGGAGGACTCATATTACATAGCAATTTAGCACACTTGTCTTTATTTCTGATGAGATTTTCCTGTTTCGTAATACTTCGTTTAGCTTTTCAAGAAAGTGCCCAGTGAACTGAAGTAAATAAAAAATGGGGGAAGCGCTATTCTCAGGAGCTTTCGAAATTCTATCACATATTTCGTAGTAAATACGATTTGAAATTCAGGCTTTTCTCAGGATTAAATGGTGACACGCACCTATCTAACATCACAATTTCAGATACGAGCTGAAACGTGTTACATATTTCGTAAACCATTGTATATAACCTGCATACCCTTAACCACTTGATATGATTGATTACTTTTTTCACGGTTCATCATTCTTTGAGGTTATTTAAAGCCAGAAGTTATTTTAGATTGTAAAGATTTTTTGTTTTTTGGGAGATAACAAGCGATACAAGTGTTACCAAATAACAAATATATGAGAGGAAATGGGTGGATTCATGCCTTTCCCAAGGATATCTGTGCGTAATTGAATATAAAGAACCCAACGGGAATTAGCTCTCCGATTGACAATTTCGAGCTATTATCCATTACACCACCACACATTCAAGCTTACAGCACCTGTTATTCCCAAATCACGCATCGAGGTACTGACAAGGCTCGACGTTGCTTAACTTAGGTGATCGTATGTGAATTGGCGTTTCAGAGTGATGTGCCCGTAAGTCACGAATATCTCTAAGACAGTAAAATATTTTTTCTTCTTATAAATCGTTTACTTTAAAGTTTTCTAGCATTTTCATAAATAAACCTCTAAATGCATGCATGGTTGTTAGCAAAATAGACAACCCAAAGTGTAAACTACATATTGGGAAAGTCAAAATAGATTTTACAGCTTGCTCTACTGAAATACCGCCACATTACGTACTCTAAAGAAAGGACTTCAAACATGAAACAAGAATCTATGTGTAATTGTTTTGTTTTAAATCCTATCTCTGACAAATTCATACATTTTCATGAACTGGAAATAGAATATTTAATCATTCCGTGTAAATTAATTCTGCATCTTTTCATATATTTTTCCTTGCTTAAACAGCATCCAGTGGATATATATATACACTTTTGCGGAAGGCAAAAAAAAATTAAAAGATGCCCACAGCTGACAAGAAAGATAACCGAATACAGTATCTGTCGAAGAATAAGAAACAGAAACTAACAGATAATAGAATTAAAGAAGTCATTTTCAGCTCTTGGAAATTGTTTAGACTTTGAGGTTCGTGATCTTTGCTGACTTCATTATCTCTAATGTACCACAAAGGACAGATTAAAGGCTAACAGTACAGCTCTAGACACTCCTAAAATTACAGCCTATGCTCAACGGAGGAGAATTAGCCGATTGCGCCACTCCTTTTACACTTGTTGGAACAATTTCAAAGCTTATAGATCAAAATGAACGACTTGGTAACAAAATTTGCAAGAATATGTGAAACTTTGCTCTTCCAAATACATCGTTTAGATGGAGAATGTTTCGGAAAAGTTTATCTTTAACCGACTGGGAGATTTTGTGCAGACTTCACAACATTAAATTATTCCTTTTAAGCTTTTTGATTAAACCAAAACCTAAAGTTACCATAAATATCAGGCTTAGCTCAGTGACTTCTGCACAAATGTTGGTTATTAGCAATTAAGTGTTGAATTTATAAGACGGGAATTTCCGTCATCCGCAGTTGAATTTTAATGTTTTTATGCCACGTACAGTTTATCATATATAAACACACACCTCATATGGGGAATAGCCTATTTTGGCAGACGAAGATATCGGTCGTCTGTCTTAAGAGTTCGTGTCAGGAAAAAAATAAATAAAACATCAATCGGAAAACTAATACTGAATTTATCCATTTCAATGTTTCAGTCAGACGAAAGACATAAGAAAGTGTTCAGGGGAGGTTGTACTTGAATGGAAGAAGTTTTATAAAATGAAACCCGAATAGTAATCTTATGACGTTAATTTGGAGCTATATGAAAAGTGAAATAAGTTAAAATTAAAAGAATAAAAAGGGATTTAAAAATAACTTTAATAATAAATATATAGATAAAAGGATGTAAGGGATTAATGGAAATAGAGTTGTGGGGATCTTAGAGTAGGAGAAAGTTTATAAATTATAAATATAGTGTAAAGAGGTTATAGAGAGGGTGAATATAGAAATTAGAATTTGTTATACATTCTACATTTGAAAAGTTAGAGGGGAGTGAATATTATGGAAAAATCTAGAAGCTAATAAAGTATATTTGAATTTGTTTTTATGTTGACATTTTAATACTAATTCATTCCTCCGATCTAATAATTGCTTTAAATTATTGTATTTTATTATTCTAATTTTATCTTCTAAACATAAGTCACATCTCTAAGACTATTAAGAGTACGTGTGGAACCTATAATCTTCCAAATTATCTGTGAGCTCAAACATTTCTCCTTCAATTTCCATTTTATTTATTTATTTAATTATTTTTGAAAGAGCTGTCGAGTGTAGGGTTAGAAAATAAGCGCCTATGGGTATAAAATCTGTTTCCATTCTCAGGCGGAAATCCCAATGTAAACATAATTTTTCATATTTTCTTTAGGGGAAATGACCGCTTGATCATATATATATATATATAAACAGTCAATGATCATGAGCAGTTTCAATGTTTGCTTTAATTTCTGGTGAGAATAAAGACATTGTCCAACATTTCGATATTTTTTTTTTTTTTTTTTATTAAGCTTTCGGCTTACATGAGCCATCCACAGAGTGGGTATACAGACATAAAACAAATGATATCCACCGTCAAAGATGATAGTTTGTTATTTTGATATAAAAAAATCGCAATGTGATGATAACGGTCGCGGAATAGCAGATGCAGATCGTAAATTCAAGATTCGGTTCTATGACGCAATAGATCGAAGTAAAACAACAGAACCAATGTCTAGATGCAATATAATGTGTTGTAACTAGTTTGAAATATAAATTTTTTTGAGTGTGGGGTGGTGGTGCGTGCGCACACACACACACACACGTATCAAGTGACTTTTGAAGACCTAATTTTAAAGCTAATTTTAAGCGGGTCGCATCATACACGTGATATTAAATTGGCGTATGTACTGCTGGCCGTTAACCAAACTATACATTCATTTACTGTAGTCAGATTAGCTTTAGAATTAGGTCTTCAAAGGTCGCATGATACGCTGTGTGCGTACGAGTATGTGTATCCAAATTGTTTGTACAACTAACAAAGCCTGTCAGGTGACCAAAAGAAAAGCAGAAATATATTTAGGTGATTAGAACTATTAACAATTCCAAACCATTCCCTATGACAACTCGCATATCCAAGGTCGACGTTGCTTAACTTCGGTTATTGTACGGAAACAGGTATTTCAACATGTTATATCCGCAAGTTGAAATATTATTTTTTTCATAATTTACGTGTATAGAATTACAGTGTTATACAAAGTGAGGAAAAATACCTCCCACATAATGATAGGTTCGTTTTACGGCATATCAACAACAATGGGTTATTTAATGCCGACAATTTTTATTGCTGGTAATTTTTTTTTTTTTTTGACTACAAAAAATAATGTATAGCTGGTAATATATTTTTTTTTTTTTACAAAATATTTCTGGTATTAAACCTATTTTTACATCTTCATTGTGTTTTGACCCCAGTTTGGAGATTTACTGTTTGTCCAAAGATAGGACCTTAACAGGTGCTACAACCCCGGATCAGAGTGGACCTGGGAACACCAAAAATTAACAGGTGGTTCCACGCTGCTCAAAAACTCCTGATCAGAGGCCTTGCTGTTGGGCGTAGCGTATCGTCACACAAACAGGACGCGGATGTGGCGTATCGTCACACAAACAGGACGACATAATGATAGGAAATAATGGCAATGGTGTCTTCGTCTCTCTCATGTGTTAGGTATCTCTGGGATTTACTTCCGCCGCAAACTGTATTTGCATCGGATGTAAAGTAAGATTTTTATGAGTAAATTCAGGTACGTCAGAGTATTTCGTGTTGTTGATGATCTGTAAATCAGTGGTAGTTGCGATGAAGAATTTTTAAACTAGAAGTAGTTCCCATCAGTTGGTGGATTTTCTGGGTCGATATGACTGATCACATACTCTGGTCAACACCTTATTTATTGCTTAGTCATCTTTGCGACACTGGCATTAGCTGAAAATTCGATTACGATATTTTAACACGAAAACCAAACTAGTTACATTCCATCACCGCCAAATGGACTTCGAATTACCGGCATTCACGAGAAGGCACCGTGCCTTAAGAGTATATTGGACTTCAAACTCACACCTGACCTCAAGTGGAACACTTATATCCAATCCATCGCTAGAGGTTGAATAATCGGCCCCCTGTACCGCTCTAGTAAGTACCTGACTCTTCATGCTATCCTCTACCTTTATAAGAACCAGATCAGGCCCAAAATAGAGTATCGTTGCAATATTTAGGCGGGGATTGCCTGGTCTTCATGGCAGGTATTGGTTGATTGGGTTTTATGGCATATCAACCACTGTAGGTCATTTAAGGCCAAATCAAGTTTTATATATATATATATATTAGTACTAGTAAACGTATAGCTGGCAACAATATATTTTTTCAAAAACGTATAGCTGGCAACATTTGGACGTAGTTTATCGCCGTACCCAGGACGCGGACGTCGTTTTTCGCCACAACCAGTACGTTTGCAGGTTTTGATAGATATCAAAAGCGTCCCAGAGTCCTTGTCAGGGAAGAATTATTTTCTACCATCCACCTGTCTCTCTCTCTCTCTCTCACACACACTATCGCTACTTCTATGGAAAGTGCTCGGACGAACTAGATTCTTTGGTCCCTCCAGGTTTAACCCTCACGGCTAGGACCCGCCATGCTATTTCCATAATAGTAAGCCACCCACGTTCCCTCTACCGGCGAGAAGTTAGTTACACTCAAATAGCTTCTTCCGGCGAACTACTGCTATGTGGAACAAACTCCAAAGAGGATGTTTTCCCGATCAATACAATCTTAACCTGTTCGTCTACATTGAACCCTTATCTTCCCCTCCTATCGGTATAATGTACAGGCTGTACCTTACTGTAAATGAAAAAAAAAACAAAAACAAAAAAAAAACGCCCAATACAGTGTTCATTTTAAACAAAATTAATTTCGAAAATGCAGTACAGATGTGTTTCGTGTAAGAGAATATGCAAACTATTTGTGTATTTCAGAGATTATAATCGAAATTCTTCAGAACCAAGATCCTTTCAAATAGAAATTTAAGTGGTTTATATATATATAGGCATGTGTATATAAAGAAAAATGCATCTCTGGTCCAGTCGGACCAGGGGAGCAATCAATATCACTCACGGGCCTTAGCGGACACCCCTTTAATCAATCTATCTCTCTCAATCTCTCTCTCTCAATCAATCAATATCTCTCTCTCTCTCCCTTGTGTGTGTGTGGGTGGGGGGGGTTATTACTTCGCGTCAGAAGCCTCCCCTCCCCAAAAAAAGTGTCGAAGTAACTGGAATAACTTTTGTACGGACTGCCATATCCCACTTTAAACTTCGACCTTGTGTCACTTTCTATTCAAGTGGGAGGATAGACAAATACTTATAAAAACACATGCCACAAATTATGAATGAAGGTGAATTTGTACGGGATATTCCGAACTTTTTAATTAATATTGTAAAAA